GTTTGTTATTTTTATTATTGTTTTATAAATAAGCGTCCTTATTGCTTAGCGACTAGTTAAGTTATATTATAAGGATTATATTTTCAAGAAGATTCTGTGTTTAAGTAAAAATTATTATTTTTACTTAAACTCGTATATTTCTTGAAAAATAAGCCTACTAATATAGCTATGAAATCTTTAAAACTGAATTAATTAAATAAAACCCTAATAAACATATGCATTTAACTAAAAAAACTATTAACTAAAACTAGAAAGTAATACTTAACCGAGAAAAAAAAACCTACTAATCCTGTTAAGTACCTACTAAGTTCCGAGTAAAAACCCTAGTAATACTACTAAGTTTCCTTCTAAAAACTTGCTAATCCTACTAAGTTTCCTACTAAAAACTTGCTAATCCTACTAAGTTTCCTACTAAAACTTGCTAATCCTACTAAGTTTCCTACTAAAACCTGCTAATCCTACTAAGTTCCTAGTAAGTACTCGGCCAGAAATTACTAAGTTTTTGTAGGAAACTTATAAGGAACTTAACAGGATTAGAGGGTTTTTTTTTTCGGGAACCCCGTTATATTGCTGAAAAGACTCAAGGCTTTAAGTAATTGAGCCTAGTGTTTGCAAGTTTCCAAATTTGGCAAGACAATTTGATTTGACGTCATACCAGGTGCAAGGGTTCGTACTTGGATGATTAAACATCTTTAAAAAATGTTATTTGGGTTATTAGAAATTACCCGAGAAAAAAAACTCGGCTAATACTACTAGGAATGTGTTTAACTTTCTTCTAATCCTCTTAAGTTTCTGCTAATACGGCTAATCCTGGTAAGTTTTCGCTTAATACGGCTAAACCTATTAAGTTTCCCATTAGTCAAATGACATTTATGAATTTCCTGCTAATCCTAGTAAGGTCCTACTAAGTACTTATCAGGATAATGGTGAGTTTCCACTCATCATTTTTCTACGGGAGAGGAACCATACGGTTCCCGTTGAAAAACGGACAAGTGGACACTCGCCTTTAAACGAATACTTAGTAAGTTCCTAGTAAGTTATTAGTAAGTAAAAATAAAACAAGTATAAAAATCGACTTTGTTATACGTCATCTTTTATTTAATTGCACGGAAGACAAGTCAGCCCTTAAACAGCTTTTTTAGATTCAATAGTTTTATTAAATAATATTTGTAATTCTATACGAAAAAAGCTCAAGAACATCTGGGGATGGTTGCGTGGTTTGCAGCCTGACTAAAAGTTTTAGTCAGACTAAAAGTATTACTCAGACTAAATGGGAGTAAACCATTTGATATTAAAAATTGATCAATCTTGAAATCACTCTTTTATAAAATATATATAAACATTTTTTACTGGTAAATATATTTTTATAGTTATCTCTTGTTAACAAGATTTAACATTTCTTTTTAACATGTTAAAAAAACTATAAAATTATTAAAATTTGTTATATTTTATGTTATATATTTTATTTACTTTACATTAAGATTATTGTTATAAATGCTATAACATATATTAACTTAAAATTTCTATAATTAAATTTTAGAATATTTACATTAATTACTACTATGTATAGTTATATAATGCTAGTTACTAAAGTTTTTAGTAAAATTTAATAATTGTGCATTATATATATATATATATATATATATATATATATATATATATATATATATATATATCAACACACAATATGTTTAGTTAAATCTCAAACCATGTACAATCAATCAGCTTCAGGTAAGTATTTAATTTTCTGTTTCTTTATATATAATGCGATTATGCATAATTATTCATTTTTCATGTTGAATTTAAATGAAGAACTTGTATTATTTTGAGTGTGTGTTTGTATATATATATATATATATATATATATATATATATATATATATATAAATATATATATATATATATATATATATATATATATATATATATATGTATATATAAATATACATGTTATTTTTATATACATAGAAAAAAAGGAAAATTTACAGTTAACCAAAGTCAATTATGAATTGTATCAAAAATATAAATATTTAATTTATTTAATAGACTTTAATCGTATCCACCTGTTATCGCAGATAACAGGTGGATACGATTAAAATCTATTAAAAAACGATTTCTATTGTTTTAACGAATTTATCAAGGTTCATTATCAGCAATCTAACGGGGTTCTCGAAAAAAAAAACCCGCTAACCCTGTTAAGACCCTAATAAGTTTCCTACTAAAACTTAGTAATTTCTTGCCGAGTACTTACTAGGAACTTAGTAGGATTAGCAGGTTAACCCTAACCCTAACCCTGAACTTACTAAGTATTCGTTTAAAGGCGAGTGTCCACTTGTCCGTTTTTCAACGGGAACCGTATGGTTCCTCTCCCGTAGAAAAATGATGAGTGGAAACTCACCATTATCCTGATAAGTACTTAGTAGGACCTTACTAGGATTAGCAGGAAATTCATAAATGTCATTTGACTAATGGGAAACTTAATAGGTTTAGCCGTATTAAGCGAAAACTTACCAGGATTAGCCGTATTAGCAGAAACTTAAGAGGATTAGAAGAAAGTTAAACACATTCCTAGTAGTATTAGCCGAGTTTTTTTTCTCGGGTAATTTCTAATAACCCAAATAACATTTTTTAAAGATGTTTAATCATCCAAGTACGAACCCTTGCACCTGGTATGACGTCAAATCAAATTGTCTTGCCAAATTTGGAAACTTGCAAACACTAGGCTCAATTACTTAAAGCCTTGAGTCTTTTCAGCAATATAACGGGGTTCCCGAAAAAAAAAACCCTCTAATCCTGTTAAGTTCCTTATAAGTTTCCTACAAAAACTTAGTAATTTCTGGCCGAGTACTTACTAGGAACTTAGTAGGATTAGCAGGTTTTAGTAGGAAACTTAGTAGGATTAGCAAGTTTTAGTAGGAAACTTAGTAGGATTAGCAAGTTTTTAGTAGGAAACTTAGTAGGATTAGCAAGTTTTTAGAAGGAAACTTAGTAGTATTACTAGGGTTTTTACTCGGAACTTAGTAGGTACTTAACAGGATTAGTAGGTTTTTTTTTCTCGGTTAAGTATTACTTTCTAGTTTTAGTTAATAGTTTTTTTAGTTAAATGCATATGTTTATTAGGGTTTTATTTAATTAATTCAGTTTTAAAGATTTCATAGCTATATTAGTAGGCTTATTTTTCAAGAAATATACGAGTTTAAGTAAAAATAATAATTTTTACTTAAACACAGAATCTTCTTGAAAATATAATCCTTATAATATAACTTAACTAGTCGCTAAGCAATAAGGACGCTTATTTATAAAACAATAATAAAAATAACAAACAATTAAGTGTTCGATTGTTTAACTAGAACATTTAAAAAAATACAATAAACAGCGATGGTCAGTTCTTTTGGTAACTTCGCAGGTGTCAGTGGAATAGTTGCACCCATAAGATTTTTCCTTATCTTTTACGACCATAACTGTAGCTATAACGTAATTTATAAAAATATTAATGTAATTCAACAACATAATAACATATATTTTATAACAAAAAAGCATATTTAACATACCATAAATTTAGAACGATGAAATAACTTTCATTATCATTGTTTCAAAGCTATTATAATCTAAAAATTCCAAATAAAAGTGTATAAAAAGATGAAACTAAGTTAAATTAAAAAAATTTAAATAAGGCTCGTGTATATATATATATATATATATATATATATATATATATATATATATATATATATATATATATATATATATATATATATATATATACATATATATATATATACATATATATATATATATATATATATATACATATATATATATATATATATATATATATATATATATATATATATATATATATATATATATATATATATATATATATATATATATATATATATATATATATATATATATATATATATATATATATATATATATATATATATATATATACACATATATATACACATATATATACACATATATATATACATATTATTTTTATATACATATAAAAAAAGGAAAATTTACAGTTGACAAAAAACATTTAATAATTGTATCTAAAATAAATATTTAATTAATTTAATAGATATTAATCGTATCCACCGGTTATTCGCGATAACAGGTGCTTACGATTCCTTTTCTCTTAACAAATTTATTTAATTCTTAAAAGAAACATTACACAAAGTCAAAATGGTACAAAAAGAAATCTGATTTAGATCATTGTAAACAACAAACTCTTGTCGCCAATAAGAAATAAGTTTGATGTTTCATTAATTAATTGATTGCAAACAGAATCCAAAATAACAACATCTAATAAAAAGAATATTGTAAAGTAAATATATAATAATACAAAAAAACATAATACAATTTCAAACTTTAAAAAATAGAAATAAAACCTAATTATGTTCATAATTATTTTGAATAACAACACTATAATAAAATTTCTTTGTTTTTTTTACAAGAGTGTAGAGAGTAAGTTTGCTTGAATCAAAAACAGCTAATCCACACTTTTTCAACAATAAATAAGGAGATATTTTTGACAAAACATGCTTGATTTTGATAGGCTATTAAATGAATCCATATGACGATGAAACTTACTTACATTTTTATACAATCGACATATACACAAGATTTGTCTTTGGTTATGTGCAATAAACAAAATTTTCACAATCACTTTAAGTTCTATTAAATATGCATAATATGAAGCTGATAATAATTTTTTACCATAATGATAAGCATGAAAAGTTCTATCAGCAACTCTTAAACTTATAAAACTGATAAAGATATAGGTCAACATTTAAATCATTCAAATCCATATTCCGCAACTTATCTGATACATTTTGTGCTGCACCTAAATCAAAAGGATTCAAAGAAAAAGTATTTAAGTGGTCTTCCGACTGAAATCTAATAAATTTTTCAGCTGTTTGTCTTCCATGGCCTTTAGTTCCTGTAAAAGACCTCTTTAGTAGGCGATTTACATTTTCAAACACCAT